GGGGGGGGGGGGGGGGGGGGGGGGGGGGGGGGGGGGCGTGCGTGCATGGGGCAAGGGGGACACACACCAGCAAACAAGAGGGGAAGTTGTTGCTGCTCGGCTCCCACATCGATCGTCTCTCTCTCTCTCTCTCTTCTTGCCTGCATGTGCGTGCACTATTTCCCATGTGTGTCTGTCCTGCTGTTTGAGGTTGTTGTGATGATGATGTTGCGATGTGTTTTGGGTCGTGTGGGAGGGAGGGAGGGACGGCTGTGTACTCGCTAGTAAGACGAGTGTTTGACTGGGTGGGGGGAGGGTGGACTGGACAGAGAGCACTACGGACTACCTTCAAGGGAGGTCGTCTACGGGGCTGTCTGTGTGGTGTCTGCACGATTTGGTTCCTCAGATCTCGCTCGCATCGTGAGAGAGGAAAGCACCTACTGCACTTACGTAACTTGACTGGTGAGAGGGATAGAGTAGATAGACAACCTGAGCTCACTTGGGAGTCACCCGACACTAGTCAGCTGACCTGACTGACCTGGCAGATGGACTGACGATACTGACTGACGATAGATAGCCTCACGCGTGGCGTTCATGGCGGTGTGTGTGTCAGTGGTGATTGCAATGATGTAGGCACACGTGACACAGCTTGGCACAGACACACAAGGACTTGTACACAGAATGACTTGAACCAGTACAGAATCCACACGCACACGCCGCCCACGTCTGTCCGTCTGTCCACGTCTGCTCCGTGGCGACGCCCTGCCGATACGGATGCATTCAATCCTCACTCTTCCTTCCTTCAGCCCGCGAGCTGCGAGCCAAACTCGCTGTTGCATTATGAAGCGACAAAGGTTTCCATCATGGCTGACACTCCCTGTCCAGTCGATGCAGGACAGCAGCAGCCACGCCGCAGATCTGGTCTGGGCGCCTCGGTACACCTACGTTCCCACGTCATGCGACGAGTGCACATCCATGCCGCCTCACGCCGTCGTCCAGCTCGCCCAGAGAGCCGCCCAGGACGACATCAAGGACTGCTTCCTCTGGACGGCCATCCAGCAGCGAGTCCGTGCTCTCGCCCGTCAGCTCACGCTGCCGCAATGGACGGCCTTCCTCAGCAGTGTGTCACAAGTGGGCGAGCTCAACGACAAGACCATCAACGCGGCGATGCCGTGGATTCGGCACCATGTGCAGCGGCTGGTGAGGCAGAATGAGAGCCCGGAGGGGAGGGCAAATGGGTTGCGGCGGCCTGCTTACCTGTGGAGGGCTATCTTGTCGGTGGACGCCTACATGAAGTACCACCCCACCAACCGGAGGCGATACGTGATCCCTGACAACATCCTGGAGCCGCAGCACGGCCGGGCCAACCCCACCTTCCAGTACATTCTGCCCAACACACCGCATCAGTGGCGCGCCTTTCTCCGCCAGATGGCCCCGCTGATGGCGCTCACAATCACGCAGCGGATCAGCAGCGAGCTGACGCCATCCTTATCTGTCATTGTGGCGCACTGCCTGGTCGCGACGCCTTACTGCGACCCTCTGCTGATCGGCGCTCTGGATACCTACTGCGTGAGGAATCTGCGGGCTTTTCCGACTCGTCTATTGTGTCAGCTGTTCCATGATCTCGCCCGGCTCGCTCGGCTGCGTGGCGAGCGGCCGTCAGCTGCGCTTGCCGGTGCGGTGTGCGAGAGGGTGCGGCACAGCAGGGGCAAAAACATCGGGGGCGACCTTTTATCGAGCTTCCTGCACACGTACCACCTGCTGCAGATGGACGACGTGGCTCTCCTGCGGCAGGTCGGCCACATGATTGTCGACGACAGCCTGCGCTTCCGCACTGGGCTGCAGTACGTGCGCGCCACTTATCCATTCATTCTGTCGGGGCTGCTGATGGACGAGTCGATGGTGCAGCTGGCCAACTGGCTGGTGATGGAGGCCGCCCGGCTGATCAGCGACATCCAGAAGCTGCCCCGGCACTTCCTGTTCCTTCTGGTGGCCTTCAACAACGTTCCCCACCTCGGCAAACGGAGAGCTGGCGATGGCGACACTGACGCAGGAGCAGGAGATGAGATCGTGGCTCGTGTCGACCCGACGGCATCGTCTTCACAGCCTGTCATCGTGTCTTCTATGGGGGTAGGGGGCGGCGGTGTTGATCAAGTCTACGAAGGCGTCAAGCGGAGTGTGCATGAGGGGGCGAGGCTGCAGTTGCTCATCGAGCGGAGCGACACCATCACCTATGTGCATGTGCGCCGGGCCATCCGCCGCTTCATGGAGAGCGTCCCAGCCCTTTTGCCCTCCCTCTCGCCCACCGAGCTCATCCAGGCCATGCAGGCCACAGCTGCGTGTCGCTTCAAGGTGCCCCGAGAGACCAAGGAGGTGCTCATGAGCCACGTGACTGCACAGGCGTGGAAGATGCCTGCAGGGGGGTTACCGATTGTGCTGACGTGCGCCGTGCGGCTGTATGGCGCTGAGGGGGTCAGGAGGAGCACTCTACTCCCGGCATATGCTGAGAGAATCGCCGCAGAGACGGCCAGTGGCGGGCTGGAGGGAGAGGGAAGGGCCTCCGAAGCCAGCAGTACTACTATGTATCCGGTGGAGTGGTCGCATCTATACCAGCTGGAGGCGATGGCGCGTGTGGTGCAGGTGTTCAGCCAGTGCGGCTTCCAGCACGCCAAGATGGCCGAGAACGTCTGCCGCTTCCTGCTCGAGGACGACAGGCGGCTGCTGTACGCCCCTTGCCCCACTGGCGCCCCCCTGCTGCCGTCGCTCGTGACCATATTCCACTATGCGGCATCACAGGGGCTGCTTGACCCATTCTTCTATCGGGAGATGGTGGCCGCCTGTCTGGCCCATGTCGATGTGGGTGTGGACAAGGGGGAGGGTGTTCAGCTGGTGGACTGCCTGGGTCTGCTCGAGTGCTGTCGGCTGCTGTCGTCCCCCACCAGCCTATCCCTCACCGACAGCGTCCACCTGCAGTCAGTTGTGTATGGCGATCTGCCTCGGCTGCTGCTGGCTGTCCTGAAGGCCCTGCCGCCGGCCAGTCTCACTTGTCTGGACGGCAGTGACGTGCAACTGATGCACTACCTCCTGCAGCAGCTGGCCGTGCAGCTACGGGTGCATCATGAAGAAGGCGCCGCCGATGCCGGAGGGATGAACGCCCACGCAGCCGTGTCGCACCAGCTCCCTGCGGCAGCTGCCGACGACACGGCCGCACGCGGCTTCAGGATGGAGGAGCTGCGGATGGCCTGCGATGGGGCTATCGATGCGCTGAGGGAGCGGGCTGATGAGCTGAAGGTGTCACTGAGGGATGAGGGTGGGGCAGCTGTTGATGGGGGCAAACAAGAGGGGGGCGGTCGATCTGTGAGACTGAGGGAGTGGCGGGAGGGCATGGCATGGCGGCCGGTCAGGGTGGCGCAGTCAGCTGTGCAGCTCGCTGGGGTCGGTTGAGCAGGGGGGCGGGTGGTGGTGGTGGTGGTGCGTGGTGTGTTCATTCGATTGACACAAACCGACGGACAGACAGTGGTTCCGGGAGGGAGCGAGGTTTAACGGTGCATCGGATGTCGTCTGATGTCGTCTGAGTAAGTCACTCTGTTGAGTTAGCGATGTATGTACACGACACGGGGAGGGAGTGTCCACTCGGTCTTCAACTCTCACTCACTCACACGCACCTCGCACACACACACATGCATCCACTGCACGTGTCATTTAAAAGCGGGCTACCAGTGGCAGGCGGGCGGGGTGTGGTGTGGGTGTAGTGGGGTGGCGCCAGAAAGAGAGTCGATAGCTCCTAGACACTACTCATCACCTACATGCTCTCACGGACGGCCAGAGACAGACAGACAGACATGCAGGCGGGCGGGCGGGCAGACGCCCTCACCATTCGGACACACTGCGCACACGCACACACACTCAGACGCACACACGCACGCAAGAAGTGGTATCGGTCTGGTTTCTGCTGAACCCTGGCCAGCAATGCATCCACACACCCACAGGCAAAAGACAAGCCAGAAGAAAATCAATCACCGGTCGGTTGGTCGGCTGGTTGGTTGGCAAGTGGCGTGCAAGTGGCGTATGTATGTGTGCATCGATATCGGTCGATCCCCAAGGAAAAACGACAGATGGAGATCCAATCCAGCCAGTGTGTACACGCATACACGTGTGTGTGCCACAAGTACTGCCATGGTGCGACGATGCAGAGAGAGCGAACTGGTAGCAAACAAAGTGCGGTCCTCTTAATCGCAAAACTGGGGCGGTGCTGCTCTTATCTATCCTTTTCGGGTTTGCAAAAAGCTCCGACAACCCCTGGCTGGAGCAGAGACGCCCCTTGCCCTTCCTTTCCTCGTGGTGTGGTATCTATCGTATCGTATCGTAGGTACGCGTCGAACGCACACTAAAGCGGCCGCCATTCTCTTGTCGGTTGAAAGCAAAGAAAGAAACATGGTCCGTGGGGGAAAGAAAAGAAATCACATGTGTGCAGGTGTGGGTGGGTGGGTGGGTGGTGGGTCGACGAGCAGTGAGTGAGTGGGTCAGTCAGTGAGTCGTAAAATCAAATCGACACGGGCAACCAGACAGGCAGACAGGCAGACAGATCGTCCCCCACCCCCCCCTTCGGTGTCTGTGTCTGAATGTCGTGTTTATGCGGTCTTGTAGGAGGTGCAGAGGCCTGTGGCGTCCGCAGAGCCCATCACCAGACCCACAATCAAACCTGACCAAACGCACAACACAGACACGCAGCCAGACAGAGAGCACATCAGTGCCTCTGTGTTGTGGTCCCCTTGCTGTGCTCTGCCTACCGTAAAGGCCGAGGGCCTCGGCGAAAATGAGGATGAGGATCATGCCGACGAACAGGCGGGGCTGCTGGGCGTTGGCGCGCACGCCCGCATCGCCCACAATACCGATGGCCAGGCCAGCAGCCTGACACACACAACCGCAGACAACCGACAACCACCACAAGTGAGAGCCAGCCCTTCCTCTGACAGTGATATGCATACGCACCAGTGAGCTAAGTCCGACGGTGAGTCCGGCGCCCAGGTGCTGGAAGCCGGAAAAATTCGAATACGTCGACGGGTCGGCACCGACTGCAACCAGAAGGAAAACAAACAGTCGGTCAATCGCATCAATCGTCATGGAAACTGCGCTGCGTCTTACTTTTGCCGTTGAGGATGACAGCCGTGATGAGTCCGTAGATGCCGAGCACACCCGCCATGACCACCGGGATGATGGACCTCATGACCAGGTCGGGACGCATCACACCCATCGATGAGATGCCCACTCCCGACTTGGCCGTGCCGTAGGCCGCACCCAAATCTGACCATACAACAACACGCACACACAGGCAGCAAGTGTGCAGCGGGGAAGAGACATACACGACGCCACGCACATCAGCCGCCTCCTGCCTTCGCTTCTCCGCTTCCCCCTCTCTGCGTCTGCTCCCGTGCCTCCCTCTGATGTTGCCTCTGCCTACTTGCGAACACGATGGCCGTCGTGACGCCCATGAACCCGAAAAAACTGGCGCTCGGGTCGCACGCCGCCATCGCAGCAGCTGCCAGCATTTTGAATTAGGTGGGCGGTGAAGCTACTTATCAAGTAATGCCGAGAGGCTACTGCTTTCCGCTTCTTCTGCTCTTCCTCTCGGCGATCTTTTCTGCGAGCTTGTGAAGGAAAGGATGATGAATGGAGAAGCAGCCGAGAGCGTTCCGGCTGTGAGTCACGATGCAGTGGTCATTGTGCTCGACAATCTCTTCAAGACTTACTTACTGGGCGTCGAGGGCGTGCCTGCGCTGCGAGGCGTCAGCCTCACCATCACCAAAGGGGAATTCGTCACGATACTTGGTAAGCTGGCACATACACAGATCAGGCGGTGCGCACTCACTCAGGGCCAATGTTTTTGTTGGTATGCAGGCAAGTCTGGCGGAGGGAAGACGACCATGTGTAAGCGAAGCTTCCCTGATGCTGACTAAGATCCATCGATATCGCAGGGCTTTCTTTCGTTCGCTTGTCAATTTGCAGTGAACATCATCGGGACAATCGACAAACCGACCAAGGTGAGATGGAGTGAAGGTCTGTTGAGCGATATATATGATGCGCGCCGCCGTCCTGCTCTCTTGTTCTCAGGGCAGTTTGTGGCTGTGTGGCCATCGGATACACTCGCAGACGTTTGAAGACTTCCTCGCTGCTCTCAGACTCTCCCAAATAGGTGCGGCCCGCTGCAGATGAGGCAGGAAGAGATCACACATGGCCGGCTGGATTGTCGTTTGTCTGTTCACTGCGTGCAGGTTTTGTTTTTCAGACATTTAACCTGATATCGTCGCTCAGCGCCTTGGAGAATGTCTGCCTGCCCATGATGCTCTTGGTGAGGGGGAGAGGGCCCATATCGATGGATGGACGGATGATGGATCGATCCCACCACGTTGCTTGCCTGCCTCTTGTGTCAATCAGGGCCGGCTGACATCTGATCAGATTCGTCAGCGTGCGGAGCGACTTCTCACTGAGGTACGCCACATCACGTCACGTGGGTGAGATTCAACACTCGCGCATGGTGGCGTCCGTTGCCCTCGGTAGGTTGGTCTGGGCCACAGATTGAAGCACATGCCAAATATGCTGTCGGGCGGAGAGCAACAGCGCGTCACCATTGCGAGGTGTGTTCGTGGCCTATTGATTGGTGTCGCTGCCCGTTGTGTCATTCCTTCGTGTGTGCAGGGCTCTTGCCAATGAGCCGTCGATCTTGTTGCTGGACGAGCCTACTGGAGATCTCGACAGCCACAGCTCGGACGTCATCATGCAAATGCTCTACAACCTCAATCGAGACAAGAGCATCACCACGGTAGGTACCATCTACACCCACCCTTTGTGCCAAAAGCTCTTGTTTTTGGCTCTGCGTGCAGGTCATGGTGACGCATGACGTGTCGCTCAAGAACTTCGGCTCAAGGGTGAGCTGCAGCGGTCGTATATGTGCAACGAAGGTATTGGTTGGCACTGTGTGCATCTAATCTAGGTGATCCACATGGTGGATGGAAAGATCCAGCGGGAGGAAAGGGTACCTGCCTACCAAAATGCATCATCACTCAGCAGGTCGTATGTGTCTGGCTGTGTTGCCTTTTTCGGTCAGATCGCTGACATTGATCGGATTGCCAAGTCCAGTGAAATCGCTCAGCGGCTTCACGGCGGCAGTGCGACATCGTATGGCATGCAGTGCAGTGAATGAGGAGAGAATTCCGAGACTGCATCTTGCGATTCTCATCGGTTTGGTGTTGTGTGATTGTGCAGAGACGTAGATGCGACTAGTCGCCCTCCAGCCCCGATAGAAACCTTCTCCACGACCCGAACGCTCGACGACTATGACGCTCTGGGTACCAGAAGACTCCCTTGTGATCCAATCAGAGGTGCACATGGGCGCTTTGTTGTGTGCAGCGGAATGCATGGCGTAGATCAGAAAGCCGTCGAGGGAGTTGCAGAGCCTTAGATAGTTGCATCAAGGCTGTGTTTGTTAGTGAGGACCAAACTGGCATGTTGTTGTTGATAGACTGCTAAACATTCATTCACGATATCTGCTATCGCTTCGTCTTCAAGCTCGAGATGAGGACACTGGGGGCAGCCCCCAGCAACGCATGCATGCAACGAAAAGGTCAGGCAGGCAAGATGGGTGCTTTCTGTGGCCGTTTCAAGGAAGAGTATCAGTCCACCGTGGGCTCGGAGTATGGAGAGGACGCGCAGACCCTCACTTCCACAGCGGGTTCGAGATCCTTCATCGGCAATGCAGTCAAGAAGAAGGCAGGAGGAATGGCAAGGAAGGCATCAGCGGGGCAGCTGGATGACGAGGTGATGGAGGAGCGAAGGCGGCAGCTGCAGGCCAGTGCTGGCGGGGGAGGCTTCCCGATTGTGCTCGCACTGGCGCCATGGCTCGTGCCGAGCAGGAAAGGTACGGCGAGAACAGGAAAGATACGGCAGAACAGGAGAACAACCACGGGTGATTGGCCCTCTGTCCTTTCGCCTCTCTTCAGATTTGCCCAATCGCGGTGAACAGGATGTCTTGGAGTTTGTTGCTCAGCACAACCGGTTTTCGAAGGTGGGGGATTCCTGGCCGGCCATGAGGACAAAGGCCTCCTGTGTATGGTGTGCTATCCCCTTTCAGACCAGCCTGGCAGACATCCACAAGCTTGACAAGGTGCAAGACCGCATGAAGGGCCTCATTGCTCGTTTGTGTCTGTTCTGTTTCTCATTCTTCAGAGTCTGTACAGCGTCGAGATGGTGTCCTGCCACCTCACCGAATTCCCTCCAGTAAGGCAGGGACCAGTCATGTAAGCTGCACAGGCACATCGGCTCATCTCGTGTGTGTATGCAGCAAATCGAGGACTGCAGCTTGCTCTTCAAGATCCGGTTTTCACACAACCACATCATCAGCATACCCCAGAAGGCAAGTCACACAGACACTCATCACTGGATTCATAGGAGTATCTGTGCATGTCTCGCTTGACTCATTCGCGCAGATCGGTGACCTGGCCCTGCTGACTGACTTGGTCCTTGGTAAGACAACACCAATGGCGTATCTGTGCATGCATTGCAATGGCGGAGTCTGCTCTTGTGCTGGTTGATGTGTGCCAGATTGGAATGACATCCGCAACCTCGACCAGGGCATCTTCGAAAAGGACGCCTTCAATGGCCTCAAGAGGCTGCAGCTCGACCACAACAGACTGGTGACCGGCAGAAAGACACACGATCCATCGTCCACATCAGCCAGCCAGTCGTCGTGTCTCGGCCGCTCACACACAGATGAGTCTTCCGACCGATTTCGGCATCGGCTTGACCAGCTTGACGTATCTCGACCTCTCCAACAACCGGCTGCAGTCACTCCCAGAGAGCATCCTCCATATAAAGACCCTCAAGTAAATTGCCATCAAGAGAGGGGCGAGGGGCGTGCGTGCTGGTGTGTATGTCCAGGCACTTTGCCGCGGACCACAATCTGCTGCAGCGTCTGCCAGATGATTGGGGCCTGTTGACAAGTCTCGAGAAGCTCTTCGTGTCCTTCAATGAACTCACCACCCTCCCACCAACCATCGGGGTATATGAATGAGCTGCACCTGCGACTCCCAAAGATGACGCTTGTTCGTCTTGTCGTGACTGCAGAGCTGCACTAACCTGATCAAGATCCGAATCATCTCCAACCAAATCAGGTGAGTACAAGCAACAAATACAGCGGCTTTATGCATGGCGTTTCTTCTTATGCCATGGAGTTCAGGTCCCTGCCCATGTCGATCCTGCAATTGTGGCAGGCGAGGGGCGGGGGCAAGCTCCAGGAGCTGCTGGTGGAGGGCAACCCGATGACCTGTCCACCTATCACCGCGTTCGACTGGTCCCTGGACAATGCGTTCAAGCTCTTTGAAGAACAGACGCACGCGCAAAGGAGGGGAAGCCTGTCATCGGCGCCGTCGATGTCAGAGGTGACAACGATACACGCCTTGGGAGAGGTCTTGTTGAATGCGTGGGTGGGTGGGTATGTACATGTCTTGTACCTGTCGTATGCTTCTGTGAGGGATGAAGATTCAAAGGACCAGGACGAGTCTTGTGAAGCGCTCCATTCCTGAGGACTCTGCGCAGGCAAGTGGAGTCTGCCTGAGTGACTTGAGTGACTTCTGTGTCCCCTCTGTTGCCTCTCTCGGACAGAGGAAGCCCCTTGAGCGACAGCAAACACACAGTGAGCCACTGTCTCATATAGATTCGCATGGATGCCCGCCTCTCCTTACAGCCTGCCCGTGCTTGTGTGTCAGTCGAGTTGAATGAGCAGGGGATGGAGATCGTGAGACACTCCGACGGCAGGGGACAGGTCGTGCAGTCGGAAGAGGCGCTGCTATCACAAAATGGTCAGTCAGGAAGCCAATGAAAAGGCAGCTGACTGTCCGCAATCCTTGTCTCTCTTGCGCCTTTCTTGTGTACTGTTCTCTTGCCTGAGCAGCGCCTATCAAGAAGAGGCCCCTCGGCACATTCATCGGTAGACACATATTGTGTGTGTAAAACCAATGTCGATACGACAGCTCCTGTCCTGCACACCTTGTGTATCTCTGCTGCAGAGACATCAGCCGTTGTGGACTTCGCGGCAACCGATCCAGCCGTGCCTCCCTCACGAGGAAGGAAGCAGACCCGTCTCGTCACCTCGTCCGCCGCTGCCCCACACCAGCACACATCTGCAGCTCAGCTGCGCTTATCGCTGGCTGATGACGTGCCTGAGGGAGACGCGGAGCTCGACATGCTGAGCCCTACGGCGGAGGAGAGGGTGGCGAGGGTGTCGTCCGCATACTATTTCAGTGATTTGTCTGAAGAACAGGTAGGCAGGTGGCCACTAGGCGCGGATGAAGGTGTTGGAGCGATGGATGGATGCAGCGTGCGGAGCTGCGGAGCACGGAGACGTCAATACTCATCGCGAAGAAGGAGAAACACCTGCGCAGCCTTGAATCGATCGTAGGCGCTCTCTTTCATGGGGCCCTCACATTCATCTGTCGGCAAACCTTTGTCTGTTCCTTCTGCAGACCAAGACCGTGGCCCCATCAGCGGCTCAACAAGACAAATCTGGGTCGGTGCACCACTGGCGCGGGGCTGTATACGGGAGAAGACACATACTCCTTTGGCTCCCATCTCATGAACAGGGAGAGTGGTGGTGTTATGGGCATGCTAGGACAAGGAGTGAGTGCCTCCTGTACTAGTCAGTCATGTGGAAGTCGCATTCATGTGAGCGTGCATGCAGCTCAAGGCTGTCAAGGATGCAGTGATGGGAACTGGCGATGAAGAACTGGACAAAAGAAGAAAGAATCTCGTCTCAGGTGCGCTAAAAAAAGGCATGCATCAGAATGGCTCCATGTCCTTTTGTTTGGTCCATTGAAGAGGTGATCGAGCCGATGACCCTCGACCTTTGCTTCTGCTGCCTCGTCTACTGCACCAAGCGAAAGGCACGCACGTGAGACGAAAAGGCGCAGGCTGCCACAAAGTGAGGGCGCCTCGAGAAATGGGTCTCTGTGTGCACATCCTACAGGTGTAAAAAGCTGTATCAACAGTACATGGTCAGCGTATCAACCGGCCGCGAGAAGCGATCCAAGAAGGATGCGGCCGGGTGGACGAGAGCGGTGGGATAGCATGACACGAGACACATGAGTGGGGGATGCTGGTCCTCTCTCCTTGACATCAGCATTGGCACGAGTTTGTGCTCCAATCGGGTCTTCGATTCACATCAGAGATCGAAGACACCCTGTTCGAAAGTAAGTCATTCAGACGCAGGAGCACTCCACCTCATCTCTGCTTGTCTTCCCGCATGCAGTCATGTCCGTGCGGACACATGGCAAGGGCGACTACATCCCTGAGATCGGTACACACACACACAGCGGCAGCACGCTCAGCCGCACAAGCTCTCGCCCGTTGTCAGATTTCATGGCGACATGGCATGCCCACGACTTGGAGAGCAAAGATCCATTCATCAAGCGCATGTGCCACACGTACAAGATGGAGTACTACTCATTAACGACCGAGGAGATGCTTCAGCGAGTCACCAACATCGACCAGGGCTGCAGCGCATTCGACGAGCGGCTCGTCACTCGCGAACAGCAGGACGGCGATGTCACGAACAACACCCTCCCAGACACCATTATTGGGGAAAGAAGGAGCCACTTCCGGATGTATTACCGAGACAAGCCTGGCAAGGCCAGCCATCGGACACACGCACTCGAGGCGGCCCTCAAGCGCGAGAGAGACACCCCGACAAAGGCGGAAGCGATCAAGCAACAGGAAGCGGCATCACCGGAGGACGGTGTCGAGGCAGGCAAGGTGGGTGGACAGGACGGTGCTGGTCGTGAAACGGCCGTGGCGAGTCTCGTGTCGCTGACAGACGAAGAGCTGACGGTCTGGAAAGGTCAGGTGATGTGGACGGGGTCTGCAGACAAGCAGTCCATCTGGTGTGTGTGCCCATGAACGTATCCACGCAGCGTTGCGCGAGCGGGATGAGAGCTGTGCAGACGAGGGAGACACCGCCGAGGCGGTGCGGCTGGAGTTCTCGGAACCCTCAATCCCGTCAGACGACCTGTCCCTCGACGCACAAGAATTCATGGTGAATAAAGGCAACTCAGGGTAGGAGACGCACACATTGCTTGTGTGCCTCCAGTGCTCCACACATCGCTCGCGTGACTCCCCTCCCTCCAGCATCCAGCCAACCCCACGGTCGACATCGATGGCCTCGGGCAGACGAGCCACCGCCGCCAACGGCACGCAGCGCATCGGGCTCACGACCAAACACTCATTCGTCGTCTCGGGCACAGCCAAGGACAGTCTAGCCGCCAAGTCTGATGACGATGTGGGCGCGGGTGTTGGTGTGAATGGTGGCGTGTCGGGTAGCTTGTTTGCCGGTGTTGACTTCGATAAGCTCATGACGGAGCCGCTGGATTGGGAGACGACGGGAACCGAAGCAGGGACGGGGAGAAGATCGAGTGAGAAGGACAAACACAGAGAGAGAGGCACTCGTCTTTGTTGAATTTCGTTTGATATCCCGTGTGCTTTGTCGTCCGTCTGTCTGCAGCGCGGAGAATCAAAGAGCGGACTCCAAACATTATCCTTCCGGAGACCATGAACTCGCCAAAGACACACACAGGTATCACACCCATACCGAAAGCGCCAAAGCATGACTTCTCTCTCTTCTTCCCAGCAGCCTTTGGTGAGCTCGACCAGGACGTTGCTCTGCATCCCGCCTTGCGCGACAACGAGCGGCAGCGTCAGAGCCGACGTACAAAGGCTGTCGGCCGACTCGCATCAGGATTCAGGGACAGCCGATTCCTCACCAACACTCTCGAGGTCCGGCGACAGCTGCGGGCGGTGTATCGGTCAATGCCATTCGAGGAGTTCCAGCGGCTGATAGTGTTTCTGCTGCGTAGTCTGCGACACATCAAGTCTTACCAACCAGCTGTGTCCATCCATTTCCTGCAAGTGGACGACCCCGTGTTCAAGGTGGGCAGCTGGCTTTCCTTTGCAGGCTTGTGTGTGTGACTTTCTGGATGGATGTCTCGGTGCAGGCTGCGTGTGGTGACACTTCGGTGCCGTCTCCGACCACAGTTCTGCTTCAAAAGATGGGATTCGTCTTTGTGCTCGATCGGTTCTGGGTATGTACACAAGCAAACCACTTACTGACCCTGTGGAGGCACGTCTGTCTGTCTGTCTGTCTGTCTGTCAAAGATATGGCCGGCCGTGCATGCTCCCTACGTATGCGGCCTCCCCTGCAGCTCGTCCCAAGCTGACGCAGAGACCTCGCGAATGGCTGCCTCCCAAGCAGCCGCCCTCCCACGCACCAAGAAGAGCCTGACAGCGACAAAAGAGTCCAGCCCCTCCCCCCGACCCTCCCTCTTGGCCAACCCCTGGGCGGCCCTGTCGAGTCTGGCCATGAGTGTTGGCAAGATGACGTCAAGCGCTGGCAGCATTCCTCCTCCAATCAGCCCCAAGACGCCATCGCCGCGAGCCAAAGCTGCTCGCGAGGCGACGCCCCGGTCACAGGCTGCGTCGACGCTGAGCGACCCTGGAAACAGCTGGCTGCACAAGGTGCCAATGATGCAATGTCCGACCAGCGGAGAGGTTGCAGGGGGCAATCACATGATGTGTGTTGCTGTATCTGTCAGATGGTCCCTGCCGACTGTCCTGGTCGCCATCGTGCGCGTCTCGATGACCTCATGCAGCTCATACATTTGTATCAGGTGAGGATCCTTGCTGATGTGGTCAAGTCTTCTCCTGTGCGTCACGTGATGTGCGGTGGTGTCTCAGGCGAAGATGAAGCAGATGGGTGACAGGTTTAGAGGCGACTGCGATCTGTAAGTAACTAAGGTTTGACTGTCGATGTGTAGAAATGACACGGACATCCCCTCGGCGATAGAGTGCATAAAGTGACTGACACATTTGCGTGTGTGTGCCTGTGTACCTGCACAACGTTCACCAAGCATAAATTTATCAAATAGCAGAACCCGATAAACGTCTCAATACATAATCAACCATTCACCCACACCTTGACATGGGTACGAGCAGGCAGGCAGGCATGTCAGCAGCAAGCATCCACAAATGAAGCGAGTCAGTCCACTCGCCCCCTCTCGACTCGAGAAATTTGTTCACTACGAAGAGCGGCGGAATGCCTATCTATCTATCTGTCTGTCAATAGACCCAAGGCTAGAGGAGAGCCCCACATTCTTTCACACACGCACACACATCACACCAGTTGCGATAGTCTGCAGCTGGTGGTCCTCATGAAACGAGAAAAATACTTAGTTGGGAACCGAGAGAGCGAGAGACTCAAACAAGAGAGGTAGAGAATAGGTATCACACATCAACACTCACCACGGCGCCATCCTTAAGAGGGCCGTTTTTAGATATCACACCCCCACGCACACGCACACACCCACGCACAGATACACATACATGAACAGGACATTAGATGCACACACGTGTCGGTACAAGGAGTGGCGCAACGGCCCACAGCAAACACCCACATCGGGTCTCAGACCATGCTCACCCCCTCCCCACCCACCCACCCACCCACACGAACGAACTCAGGCCCCTACGCAGAAAAGCCTGCATGCCGGTTGGCATTTCCCTCCCACCTTTGCGCTCACAAACAAATTCTCCAAGAAATGATACACACATCCTGAATACACACAGCCCATCGGGACGGTTGACATACGGCTGTCTGTCTTTTGCTGTGCCTACCTTCTCTCGCAGCCTTTTGCTGCCGATGCGTGTGCAGGCAATCAGAAGGGGCGGCTCCGGCCAGGTAGTGACGGGCCCGGGACACCGCTGCCTGGCAAGCGAGACCCTCCTCCTCGCTGGCGCGGTCCAGCACCGCTTCCCCGGCCCCCGCAAGTCGAGAACGGCGGGCAGGGACGCAGGCCGCTGGGGAACAGTCGGCGCTCCGGCTCGACCGATTTGTCATCCTTTTCGCCCTCCTTTTTCTCATCACATGTCTGAAAGGGTGGGCACGGTCTGCTCGGCAAGGCTTGCGCATCGGCCTGACCCTGACCCTCGTCGTCCAGCTGTCGTCGTACGTTGGCGGCGGCGGAATCACTGGGCTGGAGGCGGCGGAAGCTGCTGTGGTCGGATGGTGCAGACGAGGCCACCTTGGCATCGTCCAAGCAGTCACACAGCACACCGTAGTAGGGGTCAGCGCAGCCAACCTGCGAATAGCATAGCAGAGAGAGGCGTACGGCATCAAGAGAGTACAGACACAGACAGGGACACGTAGCGCTTGGTTGCTGCTGACCTGGCTGCACCATTTGTGGGTCACTTTCTTGTCAATGCTGGCGCACGTACACTCGCGTGCCGGCCCGATGCACACAACGGCAAGGGGGAGGAGGGCCGCAGCAAGGAAGCTCACAGAGAGGAAGGGCGTCATCTGGCGTCGTTGACACTCTTTTTCAGCACGTCGCTGTCGACTTGAGTGGTGACTTGGGGAGAGATGTATCACGAGATCGGGGAGGGATCCGTATCTAGGGTTTACAACGGCAGGGTTGCGCGCCAAACTTGTTTCGCTGCTGAGACGCCCCGATGCAGTCACGAAAGAAGACATCCAAGAAGCGCCTCCCCACCCTCCCCCGCTGCCCCAGCAGCCCCACACAATCATCGTCTCAGCTGCCCCTTCCTTCTCAGACGTCGGTTTCCAGCAAGAGAGGTCAACGAGTGACGGTCAGCCTGCGCCGGCCACTGGCAGAGGGGGAACAGACGACATCCATCCCTTTGCCGCGAAAGACGTCAGATGCCATTCAGTTGCTTGACAGCCATTCTGAGGACTCCCCCACCTCTCTCGCCGCCCGCTTCAAGAAAGCAGCTCATGACGAAAGGGAGCCGGCCGCTGAGGAGTCACCTCTCGGGGCGGGGGCGGACGCAGCCAGATCTGTTGTTGTGGGCATTGTCCCTCCGCTGGATGCAGTCCTACATCGGCCTGTGCATCCAGAGGGGCTGCAGAAGAGTGAGAGCATCGGCAATCTCAGCGTGTGCAGCGGCCGTAGCCGCTTCGAGAGGCCCGATGACAAGATGACGAGATCTTTCACTGCCCAGTCGTCCATCGATGAGTTGTTCGAGGCAGCGGACCGGCACTTGGTTCTGAATCAGCGGCCGTCTGCCTTTGGGGCCTACTCGCTGCACCAACTGGAGGCGATATGCACATCCGTCGACACCAAGGTGAGGGGAGGCAGGCCTGGACCATTCACCACGTGATCTGACTCTGCTGTTGTATTTGGCAGGTGCGCGATGCCGTTGAGAAGAAGAAAACTGATCCTGACACTCACTCGCCCTACCTGAGACGCCTCAACACAGAGCCTTCGAAGGCAATCGAAGTCACCGGTGAGTCCCGCTCCCTCTCGCCCCAATACGATGAGACGTCAGCCATGGAGGAACAACCGCCACACATCGGTCCTCCAGTGCCATTGCCCATCGATCACACGGAGGACCTCGGCGACGATTCGATGGACGAGGACTATTGGGCGGATCACGACCATGAGGATGTGTGTGAGGGCTGCCAGGCCTTCATCGGTGAGATGCAGGCCATACAGGAGCAGATTGAGGAGAAGGAATCTCTGGCAGACGAAGAGAGCAGGAGGTAGTCTGTGAGACAGCGGCACACGGGAAGGCAGAGCAGAGTGAAGAGGGACTGTGTGTGCTGCGGGTCAGTTTAATTGAGGAGCTTCAGGAGAGAGTTGCGGCCCGCACGGCCCACGAGGTGACGTGTCACGATTTGAGAACTCACCAGCTTGAGCTGCGAATGCAGAAAGAGCAGCACATCCTTAACGTACACCGACCGCATACCCACACGGACGTCCCAACATCTCATAAATATGTCTCTGTCTGGGCAGGAGCTGGTGGCAGAGCTGAGGACACGGCAGAAGAGAGTCGACCGCCTCTCCCGGCAGCTCATCCAGAACCACAAGAGCACCACTGTCCTCCATCGCTACATCGCAAACCTGCCCCCATCCCTCAGTCCATCGGCCCTCTCACACCCCATCGGCATTACCCCTGCGTCAACCTCCCCATCAGCCCACTCCAGTCGTTCAGCCGTCAAGACCATGTCTCGCCGCCGATCTGTGCCCACGCTGCGTCTCCCATTCGCCGACTTCCAGTCTGCCGACGCCGCAACTGCAACTGATCCAGAGGTCAATCGACAGGGCAAAGACGCTGCCACCGTTGCGGAGAGGTTCCGCCTGTTGTTTGCGGCGAGCGTCGAGGAGGACAACACGGATCTGCCCACTGCCAGACGGATCAGCCGCGACCAGCAGGAGGACGGGGGCCGGCAGGACAGTGGGATCACGGATCAGTTTGAGATGGTGGGTATGTCGGAGCGGTCTTCACAGGTGACGGACTCGTTTCTCCTGCGCCAGGAGGCGGTCCACGTCAGCATGGGCGGTGCTCCACAGTCGTCGTCGAGCATTCGTACGTGGACGGGGTTCTTCAGCTCAGCCAGCAAGGGAGCGGTGGGCCGGTTCCCCTTGGTGGCGCCTCCCTGGCATCTGGCGGACCATTGCGAGCGGTGTGGCAAAAACTTCACCATGCTCTTCAGACGACACCACTGCAGGTACTGACATAGAAGTGAGCTGAAATCTCTCTCTCTCTCTCTGTGTGTGTGTGTGTGTGTGTGTGCTGCTGCTGCAACTATCGTGTCTCTTGCATTTGTGTTGCATGGCATGCAGGCATTGCGGCTTCTCCGTCTGTGGGGGCTGCGGATGTTACAGCCTCCCAGTGCCCAAATTCGGCTACCTCAGAGCCGTCCGGGTATGCGTGGTGTGCTTCGAATCATTCCAGCAGAACTGGCGTGTCACGCCCCTCCTGCGCCCTGTGCCGAGCCTGACAACATCCACTCACACAGACGTCCCCGCCCTGTCGGTGAGTGGGGCGCAGCCTCAGCACTCACTGACAGACCGCCATTGGGGCAGACGGGCGCTGAAGGAGGATGTCGACAGCGTGACAGGGAGTCAGGGAAAGGCATTCGGCCATGGCCATGGTGGTGTGTTGACGAAGGACGTGGCTGCCTGACTGAGACAGAAACGATGAGACGTCGGTGTTTTTCCCTGTTTTCAGCGAGAGCTGCATGTTCTGGACGCTTTGCGGCATCGCGATGGCCTTGCACATTCATGCATGTTCTGTCGGTTTGAGACTGACATCCTTCCTCGAGTGATGCCTGATGGCTTCTTTGAACAATAAGAGATACTTCGCGACACAAAGGAAAACTGACGGACAGAAGGACAGAGGACACACGCACGCTCGCCCTTGCCCGGCGATTGATGCGTTCTTCCTGTGTTAAGTCATGGCTGATAGGTTTCAATTCACGTCAAATGGAATCCACATGCAGTCCACAGATGTACGAGGGTCGGTGTCTTACGAACCAACAGATATAAAATGTAGGCAACGATTTGCCTGGCTCCACCACTCACTCCTCCAGGCCTGGAGACATGCTTTCCCCCTTGGCGCCCAAGCCCGTCGGACCGTCGAGACAGACAGACATGGTGTCGTGAGATACGAACGCTGCAGCCACACACACATCGTGCTGTGCGCTGCGCACCTTGTCAAGGGGAGCTTGGTGTGCATGATGAGGAAGTCCTCCCTCTCGGCGTCCTGAACGTACCTCCAGAACTGCAGGGTCCTTCAGGTTGCCGTACAGTGACTCGTGAATGGCCTTCTCACGGCCGATCTCCCAACTCGTCCTTACCTGAGAATGAACAGAGCTAGGACAGACAGCATGCGCTTGGTCTTGGAGTCCAGCCTGCAGCGCACACACATGGAGGGGAGGGGATGGAGGGGTCCTCGCGAGGGAGGGGAGGCGCGTGTACGTGTCTCTGTGTGTGCACCCTCTTACTGACTTGGCGCTGCGCACCTCGTCAAGTGGGAGCTTGGTGTGCATGATGAGAAAGTCCCGCAGACGCCAGACCTCCCTCTCGGCCTCCTGGACGTACCTCCTGAACTGGTCCTTCAGGTTGCCGTACAGCGCCTTGTGAACGGCCTTCTCACGGCCGATCTCCAACTCGACCTTAGCTGAGAATTAATCAACCAACAGAGAGAGCATCAAATCAACCAACAGACATACCGTATGTACCAACCAACCAACCGCCTGGTCGTTCGTTCCTCCCACTTAGCTTACTGAGGGCAGAGTCCTTGGCCGTCAGCTCTTCCTCCACACGCGCCAATTGAGACTCCAACTCGTGGCGCTCACACACGGCAGCCTGCTGCAGACTCGACCAAGTGACGACCATCCATCCATTCCATTCGCCCTGCCTGGCCGCCCGCCCGACGAGTGCGCGCATTCACTGACTGACTGACCTTCTGGTGGGCTAGGCGCTGTTCGGTCTCGATGTGCGCCGCTCTCCGTCGGTCGGCCTCTTCACTGGCCGCCCTGACGGCAGCCTGGGCCGCCTCGAGAGCCGACATCTTGGATGCCTTCAACGCCTGAGGGCACAGCACAAACAAACAAACAGTCGAGAGACTCAGATCCATGGCTATGGACACAGACAGACAGGCATCTATCTCATCTATGTGTATGTTCATGCACCGCACCGCACCCACCTTGATGTGTTCCAGCATCTGGGAGTACTTCTGGTTGGCAACGCGGATGCGCTCGGCTTGGACGGACAGCATGCGCTTGGTCTTTGAGTCCAGCCTGCAGCGCACACACATGGAGGGGAGGGGATGGAGGGGTCCTCGCGAGGGAGGGGAGGCGCGTGTACGTGTCTCTGTGTGTGCACGCAGTTACTGACTTGGCGAGTTCTGCCTTCTTGACTTTCATCTCACGACCTTGTCCCACAGAAAACTGCACAGACAAATGCACAAGCGCACAACACACAACACACCATACAGGCATCGGAAACGTGTGTGTTCCGTCCGATGCGGCGGTCTCGGCGCCAATGGTAAAGTCGATGCCGCTGAGGAGCTCATCATCCGTGCTGCCTGCCTCGACCTACGCGCAGCAATTATATACGATGGATGAGTCCAGTGCGAGTGTGTTAGCTGGTGCGTTCGACGCACCTGGTTTCGTATATCGTTGACGGTCTTGAGCTGGTCGCATGCGAGATGCAACTGCTCGTCAAGACGATTCTCCTCCCCCAACTCAACGTGCAACGCCTGATACACACAGAGGGTCCCTTAGGTCCTGTATCTCAGCACAGTGGGTGTGCGCGGGGGTGTCTGTCGGGGGACGGTAGGAGGCTCAGGAGGAAGAAGACGCTCGACGGGACCATCCTACATAGATGGCCCCAAGACAGACAGACAGACAGACACGATCAATCGGCGTATGTATGGTACATACATATGTCCCTCCCTCCCTGTCTGTGTCTTGTCAAGTGGTGCGTGCGTGTGTGTGTGTGTTCTATTACCACATTGCCATCTGGTGCGTGCATCGGCATCTGGGTCTCTCGGTCACGCTGACACACGGCCAGACACACACTCTCTGTGTGTCTCACAGTGTCTGTGTCGCTCCTAGATGGATCCAAGACAGACACGATCAATCGGCGCATGTCCCTGTGTCGGCGTATGTTCTATTACCACTTTGCCATGTGCGCGGCCAGACACACACTCTCTCTGTGCTTCCGTGCGTGCCATTGTGGTGCGTGCGCTGTGTCGTCACCTGAGCAGCCAAGGGCTCTTGTGTTTGACGCTTCGGAATCACGCTGACGAGCTGATCGATGTACCAGACAAACACACGGGACCAGATCGGTTGACTTGTCGTGTGGTTGTTTGTGCGTCCATTGCATTGCGTACCCTCTCCAGTGCATAGAACTGTTTTCTTGGTCGAAGTGTATGTCTTGAGGGACCGTGAACGGAGGCCTGAATATCAGCAGCAGAATGCAGAAAGACGCACAATCGTCCGAGGTAGGTACTCGTCGTTGCAGTTGGTGAGTCTGTTTGCGATGGATGGCATCTACGCGGCAAACGAACGACTCGCCACGGCCATATACATACACTCACTGGCTGGCTGCGTGGCGTGTGAGTAGCTGACATACTTGGCGCAGCTTGGCTGCCAGCCAGTGCTTCGACAGCTCCCACGGGTACCTGCCCACAAACAAACAAACAAGACACACAGCATGGCATTGCATTGCATTGCACGCATTCCATTCCGACAAGGGAGGTATAGATTCCCTCACAACAATACCCTTTTACCTGTTGGTCGCCTTGTCAGCGGGGTTGGTTCTCAGTTAGCACGAGAAATATAAAATGTAGGCGGCGATCTGCAGAGGAGGAGACATGGTGACAGAGGAGGAGACACAATATGCATGGCTTTGTCCGACGCGTGTCGTGTCGACACAGGAGCGAGTTCTCTTACTTCGTGACTTCTTGCGCGCAGCGGCCGCTGCAGCCGCACCGGCTGCACACACAACACACACAGCACTGCCTGTGTGCTTGATGCTGCTGTGGGTGTGGGTTTGCGTGTGGCTTACCCTCCAGCAGGCCGAAGATTGAGTCGTCCAGGTTGACCAGGCCCCTCAGCGAGCGGCGGACTGCCGCTTCAGCTTTGAAGCTGCCGGTGTCGTTTTCTGTCTTGAGCTTTTTCTTGCCACCGCCCCCTTGGCCGCCTTTCTGCTGATCGCCGTCCTCATCAGACGGCTGCTGCTGGTCTCTCTTGCGCTTGGGGCGGGATGGCGGCGTGGGCGGCTCAGGTTGGGCAGCGACGGCAGCGGCAGCAGTCACCACACGAACGCGGCGACGCGGCCTCTCTCTCACAGGGCTCGCAGCGGCCGTCTCGCCCGCGGCCTTGCTCGGCGCCATCTCGACATCGCCATCTGCATCAACACTGACATCTCCATTTCGGCGCCTCTTGCTGACGGGCTCGTGTGCCCACACACAAACGAGCGAAACAAGACACACAGCAGGCAGCCAGGCAGGCAGGCAGTGAATTGCAACACGCTTTCCATTCCGACACGGGAGGGAGGGAGGTATATATAGAATCCCTCAGTGACTGACTGACAACAATGAATATCTATATGCCCATTTATTTACTTACCTCTTGGTCGTGCTGTCGGCGGCTTCTCTCTTCACTGCGTCCAGCGCCTCAGGGACTTGAACCCGCACACCGTCGCTGGCGCCACTCGCCTCATAGCGCCGCACAAACTCTGCACACAACCACACAAGGACACACACACACACACACACACGAGTGCGTGTGGGTCATGCATGTCATGGATCGACGCCTCACCTTCTATCTCGCACATTACCCTGAAGTGCTCCGCCGCCCTGACACATCAAAACATGGGCCGGAACAGTACACGGAGAGGCGCAGACATTCAGGGATGAATGACCCAAGCTCGCGTGTGTGGCGTATTTTCACTCACATGAGCTGCTCCCTCAGGCCAGCACAGCTGCGGCACACCTGAGGACAGCCGACCAGAAAGTAGCACACAACACAAAACACACGCGTCAAGTCAAGTCAAGTGTGTCTGTCAGGCTGGCTGGCTGATATTCCCTGCTTGGCTGCCTGGCTGGCTGCGTGTGTATGTGTACCTCGGTGTGGGCGGCGGCAGTGGGACTCGTGGTTGATGAGGCGGGGGTAGGGCGGGATGCGCCACCTGATTGATGTATGTGTACACACGTACAGTACCTTGTCTCTCTGTGTGTGTGTGTGTGTGTGTGTGGTCTCTCTGTCTCCCACCCCCACCCCCACCTCCACGCCAAACCACCGCACCGCCCGCACTCACCTCTGTCTGCTGCGCCAGGGGGAACGATGGCCATTGCACTCGGGAACCGGAACTTCCGATACCCAGCTGTGACTGCAGATACATACCATACACACACATACAGACATACACGTGTGATTCCGTATGCTGTGCTACTGACTGACTGACTGACTCACCATCGGTGACGGTGAGAAAGGCGGCATTGATGGCGGGGTCCAGCACGCCCTCCATCGTCACGACCATCCTAGTGTCGTCCGCTACGCGCAGGTCGGTCAGCACGTGGCGCAGACAGCCATCGCTGAATCAACAACACACAAGCATCGACAGTTGTGTTGTGTTGTGAGGTGGCCAGTCAGTTGGTCGGTCCAGCGATCGTCGCTCTCACCCCATCAGCTGCGCCAGAATCGACATCGGGAATCTGTCGGTCGCACACACAACACAACACAACACAACACAACACAACACAGCACAAAGGAAGGGATACATACACCGGCATCAGGGAGATCAAGAATGAGTGCACCAAGACGAGCTGACTGACTGACTGACTGACTGACTGACGCACACACATCCGACTGGCTGGTATGTATCCTTACAGAGCAGTGAGCCTGGCGCTCTCCAGTGACGTCTTGAGCAAAGATGCGAACCCAGGATTGGCGAAGATGCACAGACCGCTCTGTTTGTTGGTGACACACACAGACAGACAGAAAGGAAGAACAACCTTGACAGACGAACCAACGCACCATCCATCCCTCCCTCCCTCTGCAGTCTGCCTGCCTGATGCGGTCAGTGGCCTGTCCTGTCTGTGCTGTCTCCCATCCCACTCACTCACCTTGACGTCGAACACGCCGAAGCCATCGACCTGCGTCTGCGCCAGCGTCATGAACCCCCGCCAAAGACCCTCTAGCCCGGGAGGGAGCAGGCCACCCGACATCACGCACCTACGGGCAGACACAGGACGCCCATGAATGCACCCCATATATCCGCCCCTCGGTGCTCACTCATTCACTCACCCGTGGTCACTGCAGAGAGTGCACCGCACCCACCGTGGCGAAGCCAAACGAAACGACGAGGAAAGATGAAGAGCTGCAGGCGAGGCGGGGTGACGACAAAGCCCATTCAAGGTGGAAGGAAGGGGTCCTGATGAGCCTGTAGCTAGCTGGCTGGAAAGGTTGGCCTCCCTGTAGCTAGCCACCACAGGCATCAGTGTTACTCACTGGCCCCATCCCCAGCTCTCCCACAGCCCCTTCCCCATCCTACAAACTGTCCCTATCACGCTCTCGCCTCTCGGCGCTGCCCTCGTCCTGCGTCCAGGCTGTGAAACGGTCGCAGCAGCCGCCGACCCGCCCGCTGCAGCGGAATGCTGCTGAGCTGATGCCGTCGATCTAGCTGCGGCTGCAGCCCACTGAGTCTGTGCCGCGGCTGACCCAGCAGTGACGCCCGCACCGAGCGGCGAGCCCCCACCAGCACCCTTGCCGGTCGTCACAGAGGGAGCCGTCGTGGCAGGAAATAAGCTTGGCAGCCTCCACAGAGAAAAAAAGGAGACTGCCGTCTCGCCGTTCTCGCCGTCTCGGGTCGCGAATTCTCGTCGCGAATTCTCAGTCTGTTTTGGCCGGCCTCGGTGTTTGGCGATCTGCGTGTCGTGTGTCCGGCTTTCCTGGTGCGCGCTCACTTTCTTTTGACGAATCGATACAAGGACCGACAAGCACACACACACACACACACAGCCGCCTGTGCACGTGAGGGCCTATGTGATGTACACTCATCCCCAAGGCGTAGTCAGTTGGCCGGATGCGAGTACATATACAGTGACTATGAACGATTATAACACGCGCACGTAAGGCAGTTGACTGACTTTTGATCATGTTATCATGCAGATGCAGATAGGTCCCTGCATGTCCATAACACAAACAGCTACCACGACAGACACGCACTGACGCGACACCAAAGCCCCCTCTGTCTCACATCCATCCATCACCGCCGGCAGCCAACACTGCGCGATCGACGTTTGCAGCCCCTTCACCCACACGGTTGTCAGACGCACGCTGCTCCACGTGTGCCGACATGCGTGTGGAGGAAGACACCGAAAATATCAGATCGCACTGACTGACAGGGAATCTCTTTTTTCCAAACAACAGCCGCCCCGGCTGCCGGTCATCTGTTCATTCACTGCGTGGGCCAGTTGATTCTCTTGAGGTTGAGGTTGTCGACACTGATGTTGTGGTTGAGCCACGCCATCTTGGACGCCACACCGGTCGACGGCTCCACAAACCCGTCGATGGCCGCCTTGGCGCGAGCGATGATGCTCTCGAACTCACACCGATTCTCGGGCGTCACCTTGACGCGATAGCCGTCGTCGTTCTTCATCACCACAACGGTCGGCACGTCCTGCACATACGGACCGAACGACAGACATGCATGTCTGCTCTGCATTTCCCCTTCCCTTCCCTCACATCGACGTCGGCATGGTATGCGGCCCTTGGGCACGCGTCGGTGTCGATGGAGAGGAAGATGTGTTTGGGGTAGGTCTTGGCCATCTCCTCCATCCGAGGAGCCAGTATCTTGGACCACAGGCTGAAACTCGCCGTGAAGAAACACACCAACAGCTCCGGCCGCTTGTAGAGAAAAAACTCGTAGTCCTCCATACTCGTGACTCTCTGCACACACACACACACACACACACACACACACAGAGTCCATCGGTCCCGTCACACATCAAGGATCTGTGCATTCTTGCAGCGTGAGCTCACAATCATGCCAGGGTGCCCCTTCATGAGCTCGGCAGCCTTCTCCTCATCGGCCTTGCTCATGGCCTCCTGCACCATCTGCTGCTTGAGCAGGTGCGCCTCCTTCTCGCGCTCCGTCCGCCACGTCAGATCCCACACGGCCTTGTCGTGCTCCTCCTTGCCGCCCTCAGGGCTGGTCACCTCCACCACCAGCTTGCCGTCCTTTTCCACAGGCGCAGAGACCACATAGCGCTTGAGCGATGCCGGCACGTCGGGCAGCGGGGCCTTGGGCGGATCAGGCACAAGCACTGTGGAAAAGGCCCTCACAGAGCCGACAGGCGGACGCCGACGGAGGCATCTGAGCTGGCGCGCCAGCGGTGCTGCAATGGCCTTGCGCATCATCTGCTGTGCCTGCCCTCTCTGGACAGGCACAATGGGCTTCTCTCTTGGCTGTTTTTCCTGCGGCAGCAGCGGTTTGCTTGCGGCAGATCTGCAAGCTCAAATGCGATTCGACACGCAGGCTTGCAGACAGATCTGCAGCGGAACACTCGTCGCCCTGCATGGAAGATAGCGGCAGTGAGCTATGCGCATGAAGTTGCACTTGATCGTCTCAGTTATCCCGGTGCTATGGGTGCAATGCATCGCATTCCAAGGCCCTCGGCCTTCCCTTCCGCTGTTTGCCGGTCCTCCCCAGCCATTGCTGAGCAGCAGGCGGCGTGCAGCGCGCTCACAGATCCTTCAACGATCAACTGCTGTCAAGGAGGGAGGGGAGGTGCCGTCTTCTCCGGCTGCGCCAGCGGCGAAGGTGCCCGTGCCATCTCCCCTTTCCCCACCCCCTCCCCCTCCCTCTGCCTCACCAAGACCGCAACGCAACGAAGTCGAGATCATCCGGCGGTTCGAGCAGTGGGCGCGAGAGAAGGCCCGCGTCATGTTCCAGTCTGTGTCACACGGCTACTTCCTGGACAGCAATCGGGGCAAGCCGGCGCTCTCCTTGGCGGCTCTGCAGCGGTGCCGCGGTGTCAAAGTGAATGCTGACGTCAAGGCGGGCGAGGCTCTCATTGCGGTGCCGATTGACGCGGCCATTGTTGCCACCGCCAACGGGACTCTACCAGAGGAGCTGAGCGGGTGGCTGAATGCGCCTTACTGGAAGGAGGCCTCTCTGCCCGTGCGGCTGGCTTTGAAGCTGCTGCACGAAAAGGAGAAAGGGGAGGCGTCTGAGTGGGCTGAGTATGTTGCCTTCCTGCCGCCGGTTGGGTCGTTCCCGACACCGCTGCACTGGAGCGATGACGAGCTGCAGAAGCTGAAGCTGGGTCGGATGATAGAGATGGTGAAGCGGCAGAGGGAGGGGTGGAGAGGGCTGCACGAAGATCTGCTGCAGTGAGTGAGAATGGGAAGGAGGGAGGGATGGGATGGCGTGGATGAGATGAGATGAGCATGAAGGGACGTTCGTGTGTTCCCTGTGTGTGCATGTCAGGAGAGGTCTGAAGGATGCCTCTGGCGGCTCTCTGTCTTGGGAAGACTTTGCCTGGGCGCTTGAGATCGTCTCCAGTCGAGCATTTGCAGGCAACTTCACACAGGTAAACAACCTCCTTAAGTCAATATGAGCCACACTGCCGCTCCGCTGTATTCACTCGTCTTGCATCGCTGTCCCTCAGACGTCTCCCCTCTTGCTCGGCGCCCTGCAGCTGGCCTGGGCGATAGCGGTGGCCTTTGCTATTGTCCAGCTCTACACGTCATCGGGCCAGGCCGACCCCCCAATACCACTCATCGTTGCCGGTGGAGCGGCTGCTCTTCTCCCGGGCATCGCATCGTCGGCCCTCGAGGGGAGGAGGGGTGCTGACAAGGGCGGGAGTGACCTGGCGCTGGTGCCTGTGCTCGATTCGGTCAACCATCTGACGGTGTCTGAGGCGCAGTTTGGGTATGACGGCGTCAAGCGGGCCTTCACACTCACCGCTGACAAGGACCAGGGACCTGGCGACCAGGTAGGCAGGCGAGGAGAAGGGGAGGGAAAAGGGGCAAGGCGCATACAGCAGGAAACGGCTGCCTGTGTATACGCGCGTTGTCTGTGGCACTCAACATGCAGGTGTTCCTCAACGTCGGCGAGAAGAGCAATGACTACTGGCTGCAGTATGGCGGGTGAGCAAAGCAGAGCAGAGCCGGGCCGGCCGGGCCGCCGATGCATTCATTGTCTTTGATTGCCTATGTGCCTTACTCAGGTTTGTGGAGCGTCGCAACCCCAGTGACGACTTCACGTTGGATGTCATCGGGTGGGTCAAGAGGCAGCCGTCCCCGCCGCCCGATGACCGGTTTAGGCTCCTGGAGAGCACCAACATGAGGCGGTACCTGGACTCGCTGCAGTGCCTCCGCAACGGCCTCGTGCCGGCACTCGAGAAGGCCGTCACAGCACTATGGATACTCGTGGGGGCGACGCAAGCTGAGGTCAGCAGACATGGGGAGGGGAGGGAGGGAGGTGGCCAGCCGACGGATGTGTGACGGCGATGTACGTGTGTGTGTGTGAGTCTGCACAGATTCGGTTTGTGGTTGATTGGATTCGCAATGCGAATTTCCGGGTGGTGCAGGGGGTGTCGACGGCCACTGAGATCAAGGCATACGAGACCATCGAGGTAGGTGGACAGCGCATCAACGGGCACAGGGGGCATCAAACACCCATTGCTGGCCTGGCTCGTGTGCTGTGCAGGGAGCGGCGCAAGACATGGTCGCTCGGCTGGACCCCACAGACAAGGAGAGGAAGGAGGCCGACAGGTATAGACTACAATACACACAGAGGGAGCAGCTGCACCGGCCGAAAAGTGTGCCCCTTGTTCAGTTTGCGTGGGATGGCCCGTGAGCGGCACGAGCTGGCTCTCAAGTATCGTGACGAGAAGGTGACGCTGCTGCGGGACGTTGTCAAGAGATGCAGAAACGAGAAGCGATTCTTCCAGAGGTCCTTGCAGAACAAATGAATGAGTGACCGACCGTTGCTGTCTATGGTCTGTCTGGGAAATGAAGCTGCTGAGTGAGGAGCTACGGACGGTCACATGCACACTCAGAGCATGGGAGGGGAGATGTGTGTATGTGATGTGTGTGTTTGACTGCGTACGACGGATGACTGACGCCACTTGCACGGGCAACCGATCAGCCGTCGATGTGATCATAATGATTATGTGGCCGGCATGTGATCACCCAGTTCGGCCCCTTCCCCACATACGCACGGCACACCCATGTTTGAGCTCATGCGTCCACCTGTCTTCGGAGGACACCTTCCGAGCAGCGAGTTCAGACCGGCAGCGCGTCCAGAAACATCTCCTCGCTAAGTGATATCTGCACACGTACACATACGCACCCCGGCAGATAAGACATACTGTGTTGGTCCGGTCCCTGCATTCATCCCATTGGCGTCTGTCGATCGCCCGGCCAGCAGTCCGCTCAGCCCTTCTTACCATCCGAGTCTCCTTATGCATGGGAACCGACAGGCTCCACCCTGCACACACCACCAAAAGAGACAACTTTGAGTCAAACAAAACAGACAGTTCGTTGAAAAGAACACGCCATCCCCTTTCTGCCGTTCGGCCTGCACGCACAGATGCGCGTACCAGTGCCCTGCATGATGTTGCCGGGCGCCAGCCGCCCACGGACCCGAAACCGAATGGGCACGGCGGCCGTGGTAGGGTTGGGCAGCGTCAGCAGCACCGCCCCGTGGAACACGCCCTCCCTCGGCGACGCACTCGGCTTCAGCTCATACAGCTGCACACAGCAGTCCTCACCCCCACCCACATCGTCGCATTTGACCATGCGAGGCACGCCGACCTCCAGCAGCACAGCCATCCCTTTGTCCTTCCACATAGACCCGCCCCCCTCCATCTCCACCTTGACAGACAGCCGCACACCCAGGCAGGCGCGGAGCCGCAGCAGCGGAGCATTAGCAGGACATGACGTCCCTTTCGGCTTTGACGACGACACAGATGATAAAGATGAAGATGAAGGTGAAGGTGAAGATGCGCAGCGGAGCCCCAGCACCGACCCCTTTCTCAGTGGCAGCTGGCCCTTCCGCACAGGAGTCTGGGGGGAGGGGGGCAGCGGGGCGTTGGCCAGGGCGACCGTCAGGCTGCACTTGAGGGGGGCGACAGAGGGGTCGTCGAGCAGAGAGGGCAGAGAGGTTGGCATCACCGACGGCAGCAGACGGCCGAGCGACAAGCGAAAGAAGTCTGGGGGCTTGGTGGCCGTGTCGGGCGGCGGCTGGTCCGCATCAGCCCGTGCCGGCAGTGCTCGCGCGGCCCGCATGGCATCCTGACACGCCACATCAGACGCCGGGGGCTCGATGAATGCCGCCACCGTCCACACGGCAAGGAGACGCAGACACCCAACAGTGGTCCGCAGGGTGGGGCCGAGATGGAAGCCCACCAGCAGCCGCGTCGTCAGCCTGTGAAGCTCCACAGCGGTTTTCAACACTGCCGGCTGATGCGTCTTGCCTGTGGCTGGCATGAGGGCGACGCAGGTGATCTCCATGGCCATCTGGAGACCCTTGAGGATCACGAGAGAAGCTTCGGAGGATGGGGGCAGGAGGGAGGACTTTGGGGGGTCGCCGCTGCTGTCTGGCTCAGATGAGGTCCTCACGGCGCCCTTGAGGCCTTCAAGGACGCCGACCTGCTCCTTCATGCGTGCCAGCAGGGCCGACAGCCGGTCCTCCTGTCCGTCGGGGGCGGCCTGAGCCATGAGGTGGGTCACCTGGTCCTTCATCTCCTCATAGATGGTCCCGACGCTCGTCATCTTGGCCGCCATGCCCTCCCGCACCCTCTTGGCCTCCTCCTCCCTCTCGGCCTTGTCGTCCCGCACATAGACGCTCACATAAACTTTGCCGAGGCTCCCATTCGCCTCTGGGCCCCCCTGCCCACCGGAGGACTTGTCCACATCCATCGTGACGGCCTCACCACGGCTACCACCACCACCACTACCACCATTCTCACCCGCGTCGCCACTCACCAGCAGCGTCTTGTCCCGGACCATCTTGGCCTGGTGAGCCGTGAAGGTCAGCGGGGCCATCTCCTGCGGCGGGGCGACTGGCCGCCACTGCTGGCCCACCAGTGGGGGCGATGCTTCTGGTGCAAAGTGGAAGAGGAGGTGGGGGATGAAGTGGGGCAGGGCCGACCTGTGGGAGGGGTATGCGGTGAGGAACGACAGGGGCAGCAGGGGGGCGAGGGCTGGGTCGTGGGGGATGGCCGTGAACATCAGCACGGCGGCGCACCGGTGGCGGAACTCCTTCTTGAACGACGAGCGGGGCGCAAAACTGACGGACAGACAGACCGGGAGGCGGAGAGCGGAGTGATTGTGGTGTGAGGGCGACGGGCCTTTTCCAGTGTGTGTTGGTCTCTCTCCCTTTGACTCACTCACTTGGTATCCCACTTGAGCATCACGTGCAGCTGCTCCTTGACAAACGAAGCGTGCTCGCGGCCATGGTAGGACATACACCTGCACACACGCACAGGCCACAGGTGCCACTACTCCGTTCCCATTCCATCCTGGCCTAGCCTAGCCCGCCACCGACACGACCGACATACTTGTAGATGAGAGTGGCGTCTTCCTCTCTGAATGGGACATCCATGAGGGCCTCGAAGGTGGTCTTGAGGGCCTTGCTGTGTGCGAACTTGCACCGCTCCAGCAGCCAGTAGACGACCTCCCTGTCCTCCACCTTGCGGTCTCGCAGCGCCAGCATTATCCGCTTCATCGCTCCGTCCTTCAGAGGGGACACGTGAGACAACGCCACCTTCAACTGACCACCAAACACACACACACACACACACACACGCCCACACATGCAGTGCAGAGACAGCAGGGAGTGCTGGTTGTGTGGGTGTGGTGTGGTGTGGGTGGGCTACCTCCCCTACCCTACCTCAGCAGTGGCCATCCTGACGCGGACATTCTCCTCTCCGATGTGGTCGACAGTGCCGATGTGGATGACGTGCACCACGTCCTCTGACAGCCGGGGGACGCGGTGCGGCAGGGCCGACCCATTGCTGGTGGCACCGGTGGGCGGCTCGGTGTCAGGGGCCTGCGCCCATATGATCTGGGTGAGGGCCTTGATGGTCGCGATCTGCACCTCCGGGCACTCGTCTTCCAACAAACCCAGGAAGATCCTGCACGCGCGCGCAGACGGCCGGCTGGCCTATTCAGTATGTATCGCGTCTCGTGTGTACCACTCTCCCACGTACGTACCCGCGGAGCCACGTGGCCGATCGGTCATTGTCCTGCCAGCCCGCCCAGTCGCGCCGCATCGGCATCTTCTCCTTGGGCATCTGCGGCCGGGCGTTGTCAGGCGGCCATGCTCTCGTGAACTCGCTACTGGCGTCCACCACGATGGGCATCTCCGCCAGCCCGGCCTCGATGACCTCCTGTGGCGCCATGCGGTGCTCGGGGAAGGGCAGGGTCTCCCGGGGAGGGAGGAGCGGCAGCGGGGGCGTGTCGACGATCTCCGGCGCCTTGTACTTCTGCACGTGCAGTAGCTTCTGAATGATGAGGTCGAGCTCGCGGGCAGAGGGGTAGGGGGACGACAGGAGCCGGCCGAAGGCATACGCCACCTCACGACGCACTGACCAGTCCTCGTCAACTGAGTGACAGAAAGAAAATAAGACAGACACACACAGCCGTGAGTGAGGTGAAAGAGGAGGAAGGAAACAGATTCATTGATATGCATCGGTAGTTGCCCTCACTCACCTGCGAGTATGGCCATGGCGTTGCCCACGTTCCGGCACGTGATGTGGTTGTTAACGGCGCTGACCACATCCCCGTCTCTCTGCAGCCGCATCCATAACTCCTCATTATTCTCATCTCCACCACCCACCTCCATCTTGACCACAACGCCGCCAGGCGCCTCCACACTACTCGCCGCTGCAGCTGCAGCAGCCGCGGGTGGCCTGCTCTTGTCCCTAATGACCTCAATCGTCTCGCGATACGCCACATAGACGGCAACGACCGCAGGGATGGCGCGCCGACGCACGACAGTCGACACGTGGCGCAGACACGTCAAGCCGCATATAACGCACTGTCGCAGGGCCGAGAGGAGGTCACGCAGCGGGGTGTGGGCGCCTGATGAGCCGGGCTGTGTGTCGTCAATGGCTGCCCTGAGGTCCTGGGGGACTCGCCCTGCGGCCATGACGACCTCACACAGCGCATGGACAATGAGAAGGGGCTGCGACGAGAGATCCTCCACCCTCGAGACCAGACGCCTGAAGCAGACAGACACACAACCACACAGAACATATTGAACTACCATCCCGGCCGCTCGAGCTGTAAAAGTATGAGTGTGTGATGGACCTACCTGAGTTCGCTGACAGTGTCGTGCTTGATGGGCACCGCCACCCCGCCCCTGCCATCAGGTGGCAGCGAGGCCATCGGGGCCACCTCCTCCTCGTCATAATTCCTCAGCCTGTTGTCCATGGTCTGCGTCTTGCGCACCTTGTGTTTGGCCGGATCTGTCTTGACGCGCTTGCTGGTGGGAGCTGGCGACACCAGCCCGCCATGGCCCTGCAGCTGTGGCATCGGATCACGCCGCTTGACGGGCAGCATCTTCTTGGGCTCCTTTGATTCCATCTCCCGCTTGACGTGTGGTTGCTGCCGTCGCGATGAAGGGCGGGGAGGTGGACGTGGTGGAGGCGGCGGCGGCGGCGGCGGTGGCCGGCCTCGACTCATCGACGAGTGGCCACGCCACCTTGCCCCAGGAGGAGGCATTGAAGGATTGGGAGGACCAAACATTCGTCACACGCCAGGAGCTTTGATCCTACGCTACGCTGAGGTTGGCCTGACCGCTTCACGGATTCTCCCCGACCTCAGAAATGGGTTAGAGAGTCCCCTTGTCGAAAAAGGGACAGCAGCAGCGGTTTCGAAAAAGGGACAGCACTGCGAGCTTGAAAGTGGCGGGTCCGAAGAAGAGGATGATTCTCTTTTTCCTTGGCTGTTCTCTTCTGTGGTGAGAGAGCGGATCCGAGCAATGTCGGCGTTTGAGGAGCTTGGGATGTGTCCCGAGATCATCCGAGCGGTGCAGGAAGACGACTGGCTCCTGCCCACGCCCGTGCAGGCCGAAGCCGTCCCACTCATACTCGGCGTGAGTGATGGATGCATTGCACACTCGACATCAATCATCGGACCTTTCTTCGTGTCGATCAATGCATCTGCCTGCGTGTGATCAACGTACAGGGTGGAGATGTGTGTGCTGCAGCTGAAACGGGCAGCGGCAAGACGGGCGCATTCGGCTTGCCGTGTCTGCAGATCGTCCATGAGGCCCTCCGCAACAAGGCCATCACATCCATCAGTGAAGCCAGGGCAGCCGGCGGAGGTCAGCCATCCCATACAGACAGTCAGTATCCGTGTTGTCCTCTCCTCTCCATGCCACGGATGGCGTCGATCAATCCATCAGGTGCCGCTGGGTCAGTGTCGGTTCGGTTGAGTGTGGACGACAAGGATCCGTATGTGTTGGTGACTGAGGACGGGCTGGAGGCCAAGTCGGACGACGAGAGGAGGTGGAACGGCATAAGGGGGACCGTCGAGATACTCAACGGCAAATACCAGGTACGGGTGGGCGGAGATGAGATGGGTGTCTGTGTGATGTGCACACACACGCAGTCTATGTGTCTGTCTATGTATGTGTCGGTATGTCCGTTTGTCATGTGTGCCAGTATGAGGTGGAGATCACGACGGAGGGTCTGGTGAGGGTGGGCTGGGCGACCAGCATCGCGGGCCTGGAGCTGGGCAAAGACGACAAGTCATTCGGATACGGCGGCACCGGCAAGAAGAGCTGGAACAGGTCAGCTCAGCTCAGCTCAGCTCACTGGTGGCGGCCATGCACAGTCAGGAAGCAATGACAGGACAGTGCAGCCATCTCTCCATCTGTCTCTCGCTCTGTGTCTGTGTGTGTGTGTGGTTTGGCAGGTCGTTTGAGGACTACGGCGGGCCCTTTGGGAAGGGCGATGTGATAGGCATGCTCCTCGACAGGGACGCCCAGACGGTCGCCTACACCAAGAACGGCAACCACCTCGGCATTGCCTACAACATCCCCCCTCAGCTGCACCACACCCCTCTCAAGCCTGGCGTCTGCGGCAAGAAATTCCAGGTGAGTGAGGATAGATACCACACAGATGCATCACAGATGGACGACAAGACACCAACCCAAGAAAGACATCTTTCTTCCTTTGGTTCTTTATTGCCTGGCTGCCTAGGTTCGTTGTGTGTTTGACGCGCTGTCGTACCCCGTGGCTGGCTACACGCCCCTGGCCCAGATAGACCCCTCACACACGACCGAGGGGCTGGCGATGGGGATGGACACGGCCGGCAAGGGGGCGAGGCCGCCGCTCTGCCTCATACTCGAACCCACACGAGATCTCGCAGACCAGACCTACAAGTGCATGAAGCTCTTCGGTAGACGTCAGACAGACACACAGACAGACAGAGTGAGACAGAGATTGTGATGTACACGTGTGTGTCTGTCTGTTGATGTGTTGTTTTGTTTTTCTGTGGTGTGTGGTGGTGTTGTGTTGTGCAGGCAAGTATCTCGACGCGCCGGCCCCCCGTATCGGTCTGTTTGTGGGCGGCATCGACGAGAAGAAACAACGGGAAGACCTGCAGAAAGGGGTCGGGTCAGACACCACAACAGCACAGACAGACAGACAGACAGACAGACAAGCGAGCACGTCTCGTCTCGTCTCGTCTCGCCTCAAGCCCCCGCCCCCCCCTCACCGCCCCGCACCCCTTCAGGTGGACATATGTGTTGGGACTCTGATGAAGACGATGGACTACGTCCGTCGGGGCCAGCTGGACGTCTCAGGCCTCAAGTTCCTCGTCCTCGACGAGGCCGACGACCTCATGAAGAACGACGACCGGCGGGACATCCCCAAGCTCAAGAAGATGGCCCAGGAGAGGCAGAAGACCCGAGTGCAGACCCTCTTCTTCTCGGCCACGCTGCACTCGCCAGAGGTGCGGCAGGCCATCGAGAGCATCACCGTCAGGCCAACCTGGGTGGACCTCAAGGGGCGGCCGTCCATTCCCGACACTGTCCACTTTGTGGCCTACACGATCGACCCTAACAAGGTGGTGGGCGAAATGAATGGACTACTGGCTGTGGTGTGTGTGTGTGTCACTTTCATGTGTGTTGGGTCTTCTGTGTGTGTGTGTGTGTGTGTGTGTGTAGGGTCTTGCGTTTCGGCCAGTGAACGAGGCTGTGCGGCCGACGACAGACGGTGTGCACGCCCGCGACCCGCCGTCAGGGCCGCTGGGGTGCTCACAGCAGATCAAAGAGATGAAGCCACAGGTAATTACCGAGTGAACGAGATGGAACCCATGATGACAGGTACCATATGCAACCTGTGTCGTGGGTGTGCAGGTGTTGGTGAAGCTTGCTGATACGTTCAAGATGGAGAGTTGTCTGGTCTTCTGCCGCACCAACGTCGACTGCGACAACCTCGAGAAATTCCTCAACTCTCTCGGAGGCGGCAGGGGATTCGCAGGTACGCGCGATTGCACCGACTGACATGCAGAGGCGCCTGCCTGCCGACTGATGGATGGATGATGGATGGATGGATGTGTGTGTGTGTGTGAGTGAGCGTAGGCAAGGCTGAGTCTGGCAAGGAGAACCCCTATTCGTGTGTGGTGCTGGCCGGCATGAGGGACCAGCAGGAACGACAGAGGAACCTCGCGGTCAGTTACCAGGCCACTGGCCACACGCACATCGGTCACTCCGCGCCACCCACCGTGTTTGTCCGTCTGTCTCTGTGCGTATTTGCAGCACTTCAAGGCAGGTGATGTGCGTTTCTTGATTGCCACCGACGTGGCGGCGAGGGGCATCGACATCAGGGTACGTTGGAATATGGGCATAGCGGAATACACACACCAGCAGAGCAGAGCAGCAGCCGACAGACGGGTGTGACCATTGCGCCTCTCCCTCCCCCAGGAGCTGCCCTTCTTGGTGATGCTGACGCTGCCCGACGACCCCAACCAGTTCTTCCATCGCGTCGGTCAGTCATCAAGCCAGCAGAGACAACACGAGAAACCTCTCCCATGTGTCACTCTGTGTGTGTGTGTGTGTGTGTGTGCAGGTCGTGTGGGCCGAGCTGACCGGATGGGCCTCGCCATTTCTATCGTCGCCACCGAGAAGGAGAAAGTCTGGTCGGTTCGCCCGATGGATACGGCAGACACCGAGCCACACACACACACACACACACACGTTGTTTGCCTGTGTGCAGGTACCACAAGTGCCCCAACAGGGGTCGAGGATGCACCAACACCAAGCTGGTGGAAGAGGTAGGTACCCACATACGCGCAGGATGGGCGGCGTGTAAATGGTGCTGGGTGGTCTGGTCTGACCTCATCAGGGTGGGTGCACCATTTGGTACGACGAGCCCACATACCTCAAGGGTCAGTCGGTCAAGCCGCCTCATATGCCTACGATCAATCTACCGACCATCCCTCCCTCCCTCCGTCCTTGGTGTGTCCGTTGTGCAGAGATCGAGGAGCGAGTGGGTCAGAGGATCGCCGCCATGCACCCCAGCAACTTCTCCGTCAAGGGCGTACTCGACCCACTCGGCGCCGAACAAGCGCACCACAAAGATGGTCCGCCTGTCGGCATGAGCGGCTTCTCATTGACCAACAGACACTCTCAGCTCTATGCCTGTGTGTGTGGTGGTGCAGATGGCCGTTCCAAGCGTCACAAGAAGGAGCACGTGAGCGCACCGGTGGCCGGACAGGCCGGTGAGTGAGTGAAGCGAGTCAAGTCAAGGCCGGCGACACACAGCCATACACACATGGCTTTGGACGCTCGTGTGTGTGTGTGTGTGTGTGTAAAGGCGGCATGTTGATGTACGGCAAGATGAAGGACGACCAGAACACCAAAGCCACACTCAAGCACCTGCAGGTCAGCCGGTCGGCCGTCACGACTCCTTCATGTGCTCAGCCGTGTTGTTTGTGATCTCTGTCTGTCTGCAGGAGTTGTCGCCAGCAGTGGGCGAGCTGCAGCAGCTGGAACGAGTCATACAGCAGAGATACGTCACTCTCGCCGGCAAAGGAATCTGATGGACAGATGCATTGCATGGAGGCCCAGGCAGCAGAAGGATCTATTTGTCGTGTGTGTGCGGTTGGCCATCCATGACGCGTGCGTGTCGCTTTATTAATTATCGATAATGTAAGCATCCGAGCGTCTGTCAACATCCATGGTGACAAGAACGTTGATTGAAACGCATTATTTGTGTCAATAATGTCCGACAGACAGGGCCCATAAAAGGCCCGCACAATCGCCCTCACTGTCATTGACATCCATCCTCCCACTGGGAAAAACCAAACCACTGACTCACTGCACTGGCACACCACCACGACAAACCACTCACTCATTGACCACACACCCCACACCCACACGCCAAGTCATCGACCCTATCTTATCTGTATTCCACCTGCCGCTCTGCAGCGGCCGTGCCCTCCCCTTCCCCCTCGTCGACCTCCCACCGCCAGCCGCCCTCCGGCCCACCAGGCAAATCGTCAGCCCCCTGCCACTGCAGCATGCCCCTCCTCTCATCGCCGTTGACCCGAACGAGCATCTCGTCATCGTACAGGTGCATCAGGTCCTCGTCTTCATCCTCAAACCACGATGAGCCCCTCCCGCTGCGCGTCCGCCCCAAGGGGAGGGTCTCCAGTTGTTGGTCTGTGTCTTCTGTCGGCCACCGACCGGCAGGTATTCCGACAGGCCCCCGCTGCTGAGGCTGTGGTGGCCGTGGTGGCTTCCGCGACATCATCTCCTCGCCCATCTGCTGCAGGACGACCTCAGCTGCAGCACTGTAGATGTCGTCATAGGCTCGGTCAAAGGAAGTCGTCTCGCGATTGGCAAGAGCATCAACCCTATCAGCCGCATCTCCGTCAGGGAAGCGGTCGGCCTCCATTGGTGAGTGCGGTCCAGTCCAGAAGGGCAGAGAAGGTTGGGAAGGCCGGCCGTCTCGTTCCATTATCATCCCCTGCACAAGAACCTCATCCACGTCAGCCGGCTCGAAGGCCGGCAGAAGCGGGTGGTCATCTGAGTCAGTAGTGGGCGAAGGTTGAGGTGGGTGGGGAGGGGCAGAGGAAGCAGCGACAGTTCTCTTGACAACGGGCGGGAGATCCAAGCCGAGCTCCTCGATGTCGTAATCCTCCTCCTCTCGGATGGCCTCATCGTCCGCCTCGCCGCCCTCTTGACCCCCACCAGCTCTCTTCCGTGCGGCGACTGCAGTCTCCGTCTCGAATGGGTGCGGGTTGCCTTTGCTGAGCTCCTGCTCGACGACGGCGTCCATCACTCCACTCAGGTCGACTCTGTGCTCCGCCACCCGGCTGACCACGATGGGCTCCGTACGGACGCCAGAGACATCGACGCCTGCACACCAAAGAGAACCGTGGTGGATACAGGCCAGGCATGTGTCGCCTGTGCTCACACACGTACCAGTGAAGAAGTCCACTGTCGCATCCGATGACGACAGGATCGCCCTGGCCGGCACGGAGGCCACCTCCCCCCCTGTACCTTGCCCCTCGACGCCCCCCGCACCCCGCCCCCTCCGTGCGCGCCTGAGGGGGACCTCGTCATCCAGCGCCATGCTGTAGATGCCGTCGCTGCCCACCAGGTCCTCATCCTCTAGAGCCGCTGAGGGGGCGGGGGGCGACAGCGGCACGTCGATGGACCCGGATGACGGCTGCGAGAAGGGGGAGGGCGGGAAGAAGTCGGGAGGCTCGTCAAGGGCGGCCGCCGCCAGGGGCCGCTGAGGCAACACGTCAAAGTGGAGCTGACACAGACACAGAGGGATAGGTGGGTACGTTCCTTCACTGCTGAGCTGATTGATGTGTGGCCATTGGCGTATATTCATTGTGCTCTCTCTCTTTGGTATACTATGGCTACCGGTGGGTGTTTCCACTTGAGGACGCCCTCTGCCTCTTTCTCTTTCCGCACTGGCGGTGTGGGGATCTCCGTTGTGTCAGGGGTGGAGGGGGCCTCTCCTGGCGTGGCCATCGCCCACGGCACGGCAGCCATCACGTCTGCAGCCGACGGACCGCTGTCACGGTCGCTGTCAACATTTTTGGTGCCGTTCCGTCGTGCAGGCTTCTTCTTGGGTGCAGGGCTCTCTGGTGGCTCCATCCGGGCTGCCTGGCTCTTGGCGCTGACACAATGAGCGGCACACACAAACGAGTCAGATGAGTGAGTGTCTTGTGTGCTGGAAGGAGAATGACGAGTCTCGTGCGTCTGTGTCTTACAGCCGCTGCACAGTTGCTTTGTGGAAGGATGCGGGGTCCGTCGTGACCATGGCTTCGAAGCATGCTTGTGCTTCGAGCGGCACTCGCTCCTCCGGGAGACGCCGCATGGCCACGGGTGGCAGCTGGTACATTGCACCCCTGCCGCCCTCTGTGGGCAGCCAAACCTGGGCAGAAACACACACACAGACAGAGAGGGAGATGGGCGCCAGTCTGAAGGCAGCCGGCTGTCTGCTTATTCCATCCTCGGTTCGGTCGCTCACATCTGCGAGAGGTTCGTCGCCGAGATGTGTGGCTTTGTCGAAGAGGCCGATGCTGCCCTTGTAGGCCTTGGACACGCTGTCCTGCGTCTCGACAATCTCCACATAGCACCCGCACTCCAGCTCAGAAAGGATGGCCTCGCCTACACGTTGGTTGACCAAACCAACGACACACAGAACTTGGTCTCTCTCACAGACTGCTGTGCGTGTGAACCGGCTTACCGTCTGACAGTATGGGGCCGTTTTCCACGAGTGCGAGAGTGGTCTCCATCTCATGGGCTGGCACCGGCTCTGGCTGCAGGAAGACATGGCTGCCCCTGATGAAGTAACAGAATCACACGCACACACGCACACAGGAATGGCATGTGATTCTCTCGTGTGGGTGGTTGTTGTTGTCTGTCTGTCTGTCTTACTGCGTCACATCTGTTCCCCTGGGCACCTCCCTCTGCTCCATGCCCACCACCTCACGAGCAAACCGCATCCGCAGCAACTCACGGTACACCTCAGGACTCATCAACGCCTTGACGTACACCTGACACACAACACACAACACACACACTCTCATTCCATACGCAACGGTCGATCTCTCTCTGCGGACTTACCCGTCCCGGCTCGAACGCCTTGAGTTGCACTTTCGGTTTGCCCGTCGCCGGGAAGTTGACCCTGCCTCTCGTAGGATAGACGCAGTCAAAGACCCTCTCCTCCAGCAGACTGCCCTTGCGGGCCACCTCGGCAATGAGCGACTCGCGAAAGGAATTCTCCCGGTTGGCACCCACAGACACGCAATACCACTCCGGCTCGTCAGTGGTCGGGATGAATGGGCTCATGCGGTTCAGAAGGGCGGTGTCGATGTAGTCGCCCTTCTGCTTGCGGGCCGAGAGCACTGACGGACGCCGCCGAGGGTCGCTGCTGAGCCGAGTCGGCGGGAAGGTGAACGCAGAGCGGCCAGCATGGTCTCTGTGAACGGTGTGCACAGGACCTCGCCGCGTCAGATGTCGCATCCGTGCGCCTCTGGAAGCCACCATCCGCCCTTTATTGGTGAGGTCTGCGAGCACCAGCCGTCCGTGGCAGCAGATGATGAGGTGATGGATGAAGATGAGGGCGATGACTAGCAGCATAAAGGGCGGCAATCCTGCTGAGAGGATCGGCAGCCACAGTGTGAGCGGATGCAGGATGGCTGGCGTTGGCCTCCTCCTGATGACTCCTGCGGAAGTCATCGATGCACGCTGACTCAAACACGCCGCCTTTGATGTGCCGAATTCAGCATGATCCTCCCAGCAGATCTTGAACAGCTACGTTCACTGTACTCTGTCCTCACCATTTCGCTTCCTCTCCAGCTGGAGCCAAGGCGTCAAGCAAGGCATCCTCCGTTTTGAGCTCGCATGGCTAGAGGACATTTCGTGAAACCGCTCCCTAGCCAAGAGAACACATCGTAAGGGGAAGGGAAGGGCGGAGGAGAGGCACGCCAGGTTCATCTTTGTACGTGTGAATGCATTTGCAGCCTTAATTCCACTCCACAGACAGCGAATGTTCGGCCTGGTAGTGCCGAAGCGTCCCCTCCACACGTCGTTCGTGCAGGAGGGAGAGACCCGCTGGACCACAGACATCCCCAGTCCCCACTCCATCGCCGAGTTCGTGATCTTCCTCATGCGAGCGCTTCCCAGCGACAGCCTCGGCGTGGGTGTCTACTGGAGCTTCCCGCCCTTCTCGTCGTGGGAGTTCATCGGTGTGCTAACCAACAGTCAGCCGAGTGAGCTGTTCGACACCGGCTGGGCTCTGAACCCAGAGGTGCGGGGGGTGCCGGTGGTGCGGCTGGGTCTGTCTGTTGAGGAGGCCGGGCCGCTGCTGGAGAAGCTGCAGACCAAGCCGCCACTCGACACTAAGCGGGAGTTCGCGCAGAAGGTGGCGTTGAATCTGTACCGGTTTATTGAGTCGTTCAACCAGGGCATGTCGGACGTGATACAGTGCCCGCAGGACGTGCTCGACAGGTGGTACAGGCGGTTCGAGTCCCGTGCTGCTGTCGACCCACTGTTCGTCATGCGCACTGAGTGACGGCAGAGGAGGGAGGGTGTGGTGTGCGTGCAGCTGTGTAGGGGGCGTGCCTGGCCTGGCTGGTAGATCCGATGTCCGTGACGCGCACACAGTGACGAGGGAGGCAGACACAGACATAGATAGATAGACAGACAGACAGACGTGTGTGGGCGGGTCTCGTCGGGTCGGGTCGGGTGGGTATGTGGAGAGGTGGACCGACACCTGACTGACCTTTTATATCCTGTGCGCATCGTGTGCGTGTGCATGCGCCTGTAGATAGATAGCCCCGTAATGAATGGCCTTCTCGTTCGTTCGGACCGAACCAATGCTCGTCTCGCATCGGTGATGACTCTCAATGTCCTCGTGAGTATGTATCCCTGACGAACTACCCCGTGCTGCCCAGCCGCCCTCACCATCAACACACACCACACTAACCACCCAAGCACTCAGTTCCTGAAACATACAGGCAGGAAGGCGGTAGATAAGTCTCCTTAGAGCAGTGAATCTCACCCACCCAGACTAAAAACACCACAGCTCGAGCTTACGGCAGCGTATGTGTGCTGCGCGTGGCTGATCGAATCAACGACCGAAACAGAAAGACAGAAAAGCCCCCTCCTCTCCAACCCTCTCGTGGCCTTATGTTGTCGAAAAGTCAGTCAGTCAGTCAGTCGCTGCGTCTCGGATGCAGTGCACTCAGCCAGGCAGCAGCCCAGAGTCGGTCTGCCATGGCGGACGTCCATCAGGTCAATCCATCAATCATTTGTTGATTTTGACGAGGTAGTACGAGTTGAGGGGGTGCTCGAACGGCAACACCTCAAAGTGACCAAACCCCGCTGCCCTCGCCATGCTCTCAGCCTGACACACGCACACACATACACACGGGGCCTGCACGCCCCCAATGTTGTGGTCGGCTCACCTTAGCCTGGTGGAATCCCAGGGTGCCGAGGGCCTCTCCGCCCTCCTCGCTCATCGCCGCTTGCAGACACAGAGCCACAGAAAACGAATAGAGCATGGCGCCCTGCGGATGGGTGTAGTTGTCCGCGGCATGCGACGCGCCCTGCAGGTCGCTTATCAGCCACACGCCGTCTGGAGAGATGCGCAGAAATGATGCCACCTGGAAGACGTGACGGGTGCCCAGCTGTCTGTGCGTACCGTACCTGGTTTGAGGGCGTTTCTGATGGCTTTGATGACCTCCGAGGGAAAGGTCATGTCGTGCACACAGTCGAACGTGCAGATGAGGTCATAGGTCGGCTCCAGGGGCAGCCGCTCAACTGTTGCATCCTTGAAGGCCACGTGGTCTGCCAATGGACACATGCAGCACGAACGAACAAACACGTGAGATGAAGGACATGCATGGGATATGATGAGTGCTCTGTGCGTGCGGACCCACCTTTGAGGCCCCACAATGCCTTCGTCTCGCTGGCCACTTTGAGAGCCTCCTGGCTCGTGTCGTAGCCGTCAAAGGTTGAGTTTGGGTAGCGACTGGCCATCACACACAGCGCCTCGCCTGCACCGCAGCCAACATCAGCCACCTGACCTCACTCACACACATACCTCATAGGTCATAAGCTCTCACCCTTTCTGCCGCTCACCCACCTTTGCCCCCTTATCGAGTCTGTCTTTGAGTCCGTCGACACTCTCGATCAGGCTTGGCAGCGACTGGCGGAACCACGGGGCGAAGAAGCTCTTGATGCCGCAGGCCACCTGTCGGCCATACGTGTCGTAGCACGGGCCGACCCCTGCACACACACAGTATCACACACGCGCCCACACACGCAGCACACCAAGGTGAGAAGAGGATGTGGTGTGCATGTCTGTGTTTCTGCCTGAGTGAGAGTGTGACCTGTGCGGAAAGTGTTGGCGAGCCTGTCTTTCAAGCAATAGAAGCGGGGCAAATACTGAAAATACCCAGCCATACACAACACACGAATCTCACTTATTGTCTGTGCCATCCCC